CGTGGGTGCATGCATCCGATGAAGTGGGCATTCACCCACGAAAGCTTATGCTCCAATACATCTGTTAGTCTTAAAGGTGCCACAGGACTCTGTGTTCCTTATTCATCCAGGTTTATCGAAAATCAGGAGATCAGGGCTGTCAAATTTATTCTGTGAAGGAGGCTGAATTCCACTTTTAATTATGGTCAGTGGGCTGGGCATTTAGGACTCTATACTCCCCTCAGTCCATAGCAGAATGCTCACTGACACCAAAGGGAGGTTTACACAAAGAACACAGAAGGGTTCCCCAGCTCTAGCCAGTCCCCCCACAACATCTTTCTTCAGCTTCTATTCTTCCCAACAGCTTTTGTTACTAGTTCTCATCTCGGTTAGCACCCTCTCTCTCCCAGGTCTCCTATAGCTCTCTCCCAGTAGCTATTGCCTGATCTCCACTGCTTCTCTCTGTCTCCAGCAGCTCTCCTATGCCGCAGCCTACCTGTCTCTGGGGCTCTCCTTTCCTTTTTGGATACCTCTCACTTGCCCTTCCTATCTCTCTCAGGCAGCATTCCTCCACTGCTTTCCTGGCTCTTTATACAGCTCAGATGCCGTCTCTTAAGGCCAGTTGGCAGGCAGATGACTAGTCACAGGTGCACTGAACATGATCCCTCTTAAAGAGGCCAGTCACCCTGTGACAAGGCTTCTACTGGGATTTTCAGAAGTGCCCGGGTGCCATCTTTTCCTCATTTCCCTGTGATCTTGAGTGGGAAGGGGACTGGTTCCAAGTCTTCTTTCTGGCTGGGCTAAGGCAAGTCTTATAACTTCCTGACGTAAGTAGCCTCCATATTAGGGGTAGAGTGAAGAGAGAATTCCTCTAATTGTTGGTTTGCTGGAGGGGACCCACCATGATTGAATGCTTCTTGCTAATAGGATACATTGACATTTCTTGGGCTGAGGAAAGGGATAATATTCAATATCTTTTCATCTCCTTTTAAAATTCTTCCCTACTTGAAAGAACCCATCTTTTTAAGATGTTAAAAGAACTCCCTGAGCTCTCTGAAGTTATTGGCATGAACATAATTGTTATATATTATAACTGGGGCCTCAGGCAAGAGGGTGCCCAATATACATTCTGTGGTTGTATCCAATGGGACACTTTTCTTTCAGAATCAGGAACAGCTTCCACAGCAATACATATGAGTGATAGCAGCCATGAAATTTGATTTGGGCTAGATAGCATTCACAGTGTTGAAGAGTGAGAAAATTTCCATTACATTGAATGAATGAAGAGCAATGTTGGCAGCTTATGACTGACTTTAGAGCCAAGAAAGATAGCTTACTTCTGAATTGGCCTCTACTAATCAATTTTAGTAGATTTTAAAACAAGTTTTCTAGTGAATTAAATCTTTTAGCAATCAAATGTCCCACCCCCTCCATTTCCATTTGTGCAAGATTATGCTTATACTATTTCTCTTTTCATTCAGGTATGTCAGATTACTAAATGATTTTGTAGAGTCTGATTTTTTTGTGATTGATGGGGATTCCGTACTTCTCAAGTATTTATGCAAGAAAAGACAGTATCTGCCCTTCTTTTACTTAGTTGAATGCTTTCTACTTGATTTCACACAAAAAGGAGCAAAATATGTAATTGTTTTCTTCAAGGTACTGTAACAACCAACTCTTATTTGCATACTGTTTAAACCACTGCACTATTTCAAAAGGAATTGTTTGATTGTAAGAAAGGAGATTTCATCACTAGATTTAAAAAAAATACAGTCTATAATAATTACGAACCCAATCTTGCTCCCCTACCCCGAATCCATATGCAGAAGGGACCTGCTTATCTAGACCTCACATTTCCTGGGCACATCTCCCTCAGCAACAGTTGGTTTTCTGTCCCAGGACTCTGCTGAGGAGGCAAACAGTGAGCAGTTCTGAAAGATTCACATTGTTCCCTCATTGGTCTTGCAGACATTGGCCCCAGGCTTCTGTCTGTAGTAGCTATCCTGTGGCATTGGAGGATGGCGAGCGAATGAGGCAGTAGAGAGTCCCTGTGCAGTTGTCCCTGTGCAGATCCTGGCCGCCTTTCAGCCCTCCTTTCCCATCCGTGCTATGATCTGTGTGGCTCTCAATGGACGCAGGAGGTTTGGGAGTAGGCCCTGCAGCCTGTTTCCATGGGTTGGATAAGCCATGCCACTCCTGATGGACTGATTAGGAAACAAATTGTCACAATGAAAACCTTGCAGAGATTTCCTTTGCTCTGTGGGTTTTCCCACAGCACAAGGTTATTGGGCCAGAGTGTAAGAAAGGCAAATCTGTTTATTTCAGTTATATGTGCAAAGAGATGCACAATAACCCCCAGGAAACACATCTGAACCTTATTTTCCTGACTTCTTTTTTGTAAGAATTGTTTTGCAGAAGCTTCTATTAAAATTGTTTAGTAGTGTATTAAAATGAATGTATAATCATGTAGCTAATCATTAAAATCCATTTAGAGATACACAACTATATTCACTTTGATGAAATTTTTAACAGTGCATTCCTAGAATTTTATAAATCTTGATCATTTATAGTAAAGAAGCTTACCTACAAAATAATAGCAGCGTGGGCCCAATGTTCCCCTAGAATGGAGAAATCCATGGGAAGGGGGAAAATCTGCTGGAAACTGCAAAATTGCTTCTGTAAAATTTTCCTCATATCCATCACTGCAAGTGCAGAGGATTACAGAAAAATGGAATGGGGAAGAGATATGCTGTTTAGACAAGGTGCAACTGAGTGGGTCCTCAGTTGCCAGTGGAGACGGCCTGCCACTTCACCCAGTTTCCCAGGGCTCCTCTCCCACATAGCAACCTGGATCCTTTAAGAGTCTTATTTTGTTTTCTTAATCCCTGGTGACTGTACACTGCCTTCTTTTTCATGGGGAATAGAGGAGCCATGGATCAGTAATTCCCAGAGGAAATTCTGGGTCCTGAAGGCACATGTTGCAAAGTGACTGCTCCATGGCTCCATCCATCCTTGGCATATCTACACAGAGCTTGAGGCCTTAGCCCACAATGTGCCTGTAGAGCAGAGGATCTCAACCTTTCCAGACTACTGTGCCCTTTTCAGAAGTCTGATTTGTCTTGCGTACCCCCCAGGTTTTACCTCACTTAAAAACTACATGCTTACAAAATCAGACTTAAAAATACAAAAGTGTCATAGCACACTATTACTGAAAAATTGTTTACTTTCTCATTTTTACCATATAATTACAAAATAAATCAATTGGAATATAAATATTGTACTTAGATTTCAGTGTATAGTATATAAAGCAGTATAAACAAGTCACTGTCCATATGAAATTTTAGTTTGTACTGACTTCACTAGTGCTTTTTATGTTGATGAGTTGATGTACCTCCTAGAAGACCTCTGTGTACCCCCAGGAGTACATGTATACCTGGTTGAGAACCACTGCTGTAGAGGGACTTTTGCAGCTTCCTAGTGGGGATGGAGGAAGAAGATGATTGTGTCTTCTTTATTTGGACTATTGAAATAGTTATTACATTTCTACTGGGGCTATAGTAATTATGGGTGGAGCTAGTAGCATTGCCTATGCTTAAAGTTAACTGGCACTTCCCATTGTAAGACCCTGTTTTCAGGTGGAAAAAAGTAGTATATGATCACATAATTAAAGACTATCATAATGCATATACACTAAGGAGCCAAATTAAATTGCACAAGCAACCTTTATTCTGGCATTCCCTAACTTTTGACTTTGCAACCTTACTGTTCTTTTAACATATTTAAAAAAAAATGCAATGGATGTATCAATGACATCTTTATATATGTGGAATTTTTTTATTGCCTTTTATCCCATGAAATATTTAGGAACAAATATATCATTCTGTACAACATTACTAATAGCATACAAGTAAACAGCACTGATACGCAGACAAATATAATATTTTAGTGTTCTTTATTGTATTCTCTTAGGGGCAGGGAGCATGTCTTTATGTATGTTTGTACATCACTAGTCAAAAGAGTTCTGAAAAGGGTCTTTTGGAATATAAATGTGAAATAATAATCTCTCAATTATTTTCACTTTCTACAGGATGTGGAACAGATGTATTTCAGTTACCCTAATTTCCTTTTCCATCGTACTGCATTAATACAACACCTGAAGTGCAACACTGACATTGTCATTCATACAGAGTTTTCCAACTGTTTCTCACCAGAATGGCTGATTTTCCTCAAGGAAAGTTATCCATATTTTGTGATAATCTCTGACATAGGACTGACCTCTCTACAAGAAGACTATTTACATATATTTATCGCTCATACCTTGTCAAAGAAAATCAGTATTGTGCTCACTTCAGGACTGGAGTCTGATGCTTTTACAGTTTATGGATATTATGTCCAGAATGTGTATGAACACAGGTTATTTTTTCAGCAGGTAAATTGCAATACATCTTATTTATGGATTTTAACTAGGAAAAATGTACCATTTATATGTAGAATTGTATTTTTAATTAGAACATCTCATTGGCAATTTTTGAATCAAGACTGGATGTTCTAAAATACATGGTCAAGGAATTATTTGGCGAAGTTGGCCAGTGTTATACAGGAGGTCAAACTAGTTTATTACAGTGGTCCCTTCTGGCCTTGGAATCAATGAATTTGAAAGCCAGGTTTTTATACATTAAAATTGTGATGCAGTTATAACATTTGGCTTGTCTATATGCTTTTCATCTGAGGATCTTAAAGACCTCTGCATACATTAATTCATTTGGGGCAAAAACTTGAGCCCTTCTCCATAGCAACATGCTAGGCTGTAGGATTCAGTGCTGTGTGGCTCTTCCAGTGCTCATTGCCATGGGAATAAGGGGAGGGTAGGGGATGAGAGAGAGAGGCACAACATGTTACTTCAGTTTGCAGTAACCTAGTCCAGCTAATCAGGCTGGGTTGAGGATTTGGCACTTAATTACAGTACCTTAAATGGTCCGATCCTTCTTTCCTTACACTGAATAATACCATACTCTGTGGGTGATCTGATTGAAATCCATGGGACTGCTACTAAGTTATACTCACTGTGGGTAAGGATGGGAGAATTAGGCCCTATGTTGTTATCCTCATTTTGCAGAGGGGATAAACTCAGGTTATAGAGTGGCTAATGTACTCGCACAAGTTTACATAGTGGGTTAGTGATGGGCCAGGTGTAGATTACAGATTTCGTGACTCCCGGTCCTCAGCTTTAATTTATTTTAGACAGAAACAGTTCTGGTTCCCTGGTGCCTATTTGCCATGAATTTGTCCTTGAAGAAAGCTTATATGATGAACTGTAGATCATATTCATGGTCACCCTTAAGTTCCTAATGGCCTGGACTTCCCAAACACCTGTTGAAATACAGTTTATTAGGCAGCCTCAGGAATTTATGAGTAGCATGTCTCTTTTCCTGTACTGTTCATTTAGGGCCTGATCCAAAGACTTCAATAGGAACCTTTCTATTTACTTCAGTGGGTGTGCATCAGGCCCTGATTTTGTTTAACATATATAGTAAGTGATATCACTTGAGTTTAGGTCTTGGGCATGTGGTTTTTACCCTGTTGTGACAAAGGAATTTTCTTTACAAGTGATGTTAGTTTTAGACATAAGCAGAGTGCCCATCTAAACTCATTTTCCACTAGTAGTTGAGCTTAATAAACTTTGGGTAACATTTTCAAAAGCACTGAAGTGACTTAGTCACTTAAGTCCCATTTTCAAAAGTGCCTATGTGACTTTTGAAAATGGGATTTAGGCACTTAACAAAATTTTCCCTTTGACTTTAATGTATAACTTTGACTTGTATACTTTTATTCTCATTTAGAATGAAAAGGATCTGCAACATACTTGTGAAGCCATGGTCAAACACTTACAAAAATTCCAGAATACAGCCTATCTGTATAATTTAAAGATGAGCTTGAGAAACATACAAGAAGAGGTAACTTAACTATTTTACAATCTTTTTTCTAGTTACACAGCTCAGTAACAAAAAGTGTGTTCATGTAGCAATCTGTCAGTTGTGCAGTAGAAGTCAGATAATGGTCTTGTGGAAGAGGCCCTGGGACGCACTCCCAAATCCCATGGATTCCTTTGGAATTCCAGGGGCCTCACTATGTACTAAACTATTCACAAGAAGGAGGCATGGGGGAGGGAGGAGGAGGCGCTGATTGGGGGCACACCAGCAGGCAGGAGATGCTGGAGGATGGAGTTGGGACTGATAGTGCTGCCAGTGGGTGCTGAGCACCCACCATTTTCCCCCAGAGTTGGCTCCTAGCAGGAGCCACATATTATCTTCTGAAGGGCCGCATGTGGCTTCGGAGCCACAAGTTGGCCACCCCCGCTATACAGAAACATTGTAAATCTTCCTTCGTGAGCTTAAACAATAATTTTCAACAATTACAAACCCTCTGCGACCCCGAGTATAAATTCCCCTGTCAGAAATCAATTGGTGGCACTAGCTTAGTTGAGGACCACCAAATCCAAGAGTTTGAGGGTGCATTTTTATGACTAGTTTTCCCATTCATTTGTAAAGTATTAAATATGCCTACTATGCCATTGACCTTCTTATAGTCCTATCGAAGACAATAGTAAAGCTCCCATTGACTTCAGTTGGAGCCAGACCAGCAGGCTCCAGAAGCTGATATTCACCCCCAAAACTACTGGCTTTTTCCACATGGGGCCTTATTGAAAGTCTCTTAAAGTCAATAGAAATATTTAGTGGGCTTTGGATTGTAGTAGAATTGCTTTTAAAAAACCAAGTTTTTAATAACTCACTATCCCAGGAGCAGAAAAGGAAACTATTTTAACTAACTTTTTTTCCCTTCTGTATATCTTGATGTACTGCTTTTCTTCATTGATTGAGTTATATAAAGATAAATGTATATGTCTCCTTTATAATCTTTTCATTATAAAAATAATAATATTAACACCTTATGATTGTAGGTATGTCGGACTATTTTGCTGCTGAAGCACCTGTGGCCAGAAGGAGCCGACATTAGATGTATTGTTTGTGTTCTTACATGTATAGTGGGATTAAAAATGTACAGTAACATGTTAGAAAATGCAAAAGTCTCTGAGGAAACAAAGGAACAACTAACAAAAAATTTCAGTCAAAAGGTGAGATTTCTTTATAACTTCTCATCACCTGTTCATTCTCTTAACATAAGTATTTTGGTCATATTGGAGAGGATTGTCCCCCAAGATCCCATGCTGAAGAGGGTCCCAGTGGCTTCTGCAGCACCATGTCTTGCTTCCTCTGTGTATCTGCTGGTCCAGAGAACTGCATGGAAAGGGAACATCGACTGGGCGGATTGGCAGAAGAGTGAGTGGCCCGGGGGGTGAACTTCATCCTACTACCACCCCTCTGACTAGGAAAAAATGATGTGGATTGGGGCTGTATTATCTTTTCTACAGAATCCTCTCTGTGGATGAGATCCCCACTTAAGGGGTCCCCACTTAAAAGTGGGCAGCCATAGCCAGAAAGAGTCCCTGGCAGTGGTGCTCCAGTGGAGTTGCACCATAGGTAGGGATGGAGCTGCTCTGGGCCATAGTTGGTGTGAAGGAACAGGACATTATGCCACCTACTGAAGCCACTGGAATCCTCAAGGAATCCATGGGGTTTGGAACTGGGTCCAATGGCCTCTTTCCTGAGAAGTTTTACCTTAGGAGGCAATCTTGCCTATTACTCTTTTTTCCCGTTCCTCATACACAACAGTATAATAACCACTGTAGAGGAATACAATTTTTCATATTTTTTGTGTTCAGGGAAAAAGTCTCAATTTCTTCCTTGCCATATGTAACCCTTCATCAATATCCCTTTTTAATATATAATTATGCTAAAGGTCTTATGTTTTAATTAGTCTAAGATGGAAGCAGTGTAACAGCATATATGTAGAGTAGCACATATGGTAGATCATAGGAACATATTGAAAAAATAACTATGATAACTATCTCAAAATTAATTAATAGGGTTTACAAAGAGAAAAAAACCACATAGGACTCTATTTAAATATTAGCTTCTCATCTTAAAATAACATAATTTCTATCCAGACAGATTGGTAATTGGTTTACTAAATTCCATATGATTTTCAATGGTCACATTACTTCCCTCTTGGATTTATAATGAAAGTGGAAGTGATAATTGATCCTCAGTTATCTAATGCTACAATAAAAGGCGTGTGATGAACTAAGTATAGCCAGAAGTGATTGTAACATACAAAATGTATAACAGTAACAGTTTTAGCTGAACTGACAAAGTGAAAAATCACTGAATTATATTTTTAATATGAATTATGTTCACGACTAATTAATATTTATTATTGAGGTACTTAGTGAACCATATATTGGTTATGTCCCAATAGGAGAAAAGTGAATCATTAACACTGGAAGAAGCCGCAGACCTGTGTAGATTGCAGTGCCTCAGTGTGGTTTTTCTTCTCCACTTGCCTCTTTCACAACGAGCTCGGATTAGGATAATCAATTCCTGCTGGACTAAGCAAGTTTTACCATTTATAATCATGGTAGGTGTACCAGGGCCTTGCCTCCTCTGGCATCGGGTGCAGCAAATGCCTCCGTTTTCCTTTTCTTGGTAGGGTACTCTAGCCCCCTGGCCAGGGCCAGCTCCAGGCACCAGCTTACCAAGCAGGTGCTTGGGGCAGCCACTTCGGTGAGGGGCAGCACGTCCAGCTGTTCGGCGGCAATTTGGCGGACGGTCCCTCACTCCTGCTCGGAGCGAAGGACCTCCCGCTGAATTGCCGCCGCAGATCGCGATTGCGGCTTTTTTGGTTTTGTTTTTTTTTGTTTGGCTGCTTGGGGCGGCCAAAACCCCGGAGCCGGCCCTGCCCCTGGCCACACCATACAAATGTATTGTACATAGTACAGTGGCAGCCTGGAAGGTCTTTAGATCTTTTAAAAGCAAGTGGAGTTTGAACAGCTTGCCATTGAAGCAGAGTGGTCCAGTAGGTAGTCTGGGAGTACAAGACTGAGTTTATATTCCAAGCTCTGCCACTGGCCTTCTGTGTGACCTTAGACAAGTCACATCACCTTTCACTGCTTCATTTTACCAGTCTGTAAAAACTGGATCGACATACCTTCTTTTGTAAAGTGCTTTAAGCTCTTCAGATAAAAAGTGCTATGTAAGAATTAACTGCATTTTTTTAATAGCAACAACATTGTGACTATTTTGTTCTGAAGCAACTAAATGATGAAAGTGACTGGAAATTGGATTTAACTCACCTGCCTGATTTAAGGGACAATTCACTGTTAAAGAATCTTTCACATTACTATGAAATAGAATACTGCTCAGGTATTTATCTTTGCACTTGAATATTTTGCTTTTTTAATATCTAATTTTATTAAGTTTATAAATGAAAAGCAAAAGTATTAGCTAATGAGTATGTGTGTGTGTGTATTTATTATATTACTATTATATATAGTAATAAAGTTATTTTATGGAATAGTGGAAAAAGCATTTTCAGTATGGAATCCAGAGAATTAGATGCATAGCTCCTGTCACTTAACAAGAATCTGTTCAGACCCACTTTCCCTGGTCACACCCATGCCGCTATGAATATGCAAAAGCAAGGAGGGGAGGTGGTATAGGTTAGACTATGAGGACTCCGTGCCACTTGAAGATTGTCTTATGTTCATAGAATTGTAGGACTGGAAGTGACCTCAAGTGGTCATCTAGTCCAGTCCCCTGCACTCATGGCAGGACTAAGTATTATCTAGACCATCCCTGACAGGTGTTTAAAAATCTTAAAAATCTCCAGTGATGGAGATTCCACAACCTCCGTGGGCAATTTACTCCAGTGCTTAACTACCCAGAGACTTAGGAAGTTCTTCCTAGTGTCCAACCTAAACCACCCTTGCTACAATTTAAGTCCATTGCTTCTTGGCCTATCCTCAGAAGTTAAGGAGAACAATTTTTCTCCCTCCTCTTTGTAACAACCTTTTATATACTTGAAAACTGTTATGTCCCCTCTCAGTCTTCTCTTCTCCAGACTAAAACCCAATTTTTCCAATCTTCCCCCATATATCATGTTGTCTAGACATGTAATTATTTTTCTTGTGCTTCTCTGGACTTTCTCCAGTTTGTCCACATCTTTCCTGAAATGTGGTGCCTGGAACTGGATACAATACTCCAGTTGAGGCATAATTAACGTGGAGTAGAGTGGAAGAATTACTTAACATAAGAATGGCCCTAGTCAGAGCAAAGGTCCATCTAGCCTAGTATCCTGTGTTCCGACTGTGGCAAATGCCAGGTGCCCCAGAGGGAATGAACAGAACAGGTAATCATCAAGTGATCCATCCCCTGTTGCTTATTCCCAGCTTCTGGCAAACAGAATCTAGGGACACCATTCCTGCCCATCCTGGCTAATAGCCATTGATGGACCTATCCTCCATGAATTTATCTAGTTCTTTTTTGAACCCTGTTATGGCCTTGGCCTTCACAACATCCTCTGGCAAGGAGTTCCACAGGTTGACTGTGCATCGTGTGACGAAATACTTCCTTTTATTTGTTTTAAACCTGCTGCCTATTAATTTCATTTGGTGACCCCCTAGTTCTTGTGTTATGAGAAGTAGTAAACAACACTTCCTTATCTACTTTCTCTACACCAGTCATGATTTTATAGACCTCAATCATATCTCCCCTTAACCGTCGCTTTTCCAAGCTGAAAAGTCCCAGTCTTATTAATCTCTCCTCATACGGAAGCCATTCCATACCGCTAATCATTTTTGTTGCCCTTTTCTGAACCTTTTCCAATTCCAATATATCTTTTTTTGAGATGGGGCGACCACATCTGCTCACAGTATTCAAGATGTGGGCATACCATGGATTTATATAGCGGCAACATGATATTTTCTGTCCTATTATCTATCCCTTTCTTAATTATTCCCAGCATTCTGTTCACTTTTTTGACTGCCGCTGCACATTGAGTGGATGTTTTCAGAGAACTATACACAATGACTCCAGGATCTCTTTCTTGAGTGGTGAGATCTCTGTAAGCTGCATGGAAACTCTTTTACTTACTTACAGCAATTTATTTACTTACAGCAATTGTCTTCCTTACAACACTTCTGCTAATACATCCCAGAATAATGTTTGCTTTTTTTGTAACAGTGTTACACTGTTGACTCATATTTAGCTTGTGATCACTATAACCCCCAGATCCCTTTCTGCCGTACTCTTTCCTAGGCAGTCATTTCCCATTTTGTATGTATGCAACTGATTGTTCCTTCCTAAGTGGAGTACTTTGCATATGTCCTTATTGAATTTCATTCTGTTTACTTTCTCCAGTTTGTCCAGATCATTTTGAATGTTAATCCTATCCTCCAAAGCACTTGCAACCCTCCAGCTTGGTATTGTCCGTAAACTTCATAAGTGTACTCCCTATGCCATTATCTAAATCATTGATGAATATATCGAACAGAACCAGACCCAGAACTGATCCCTGCAAGACCCCACTTAATATGCCCTTTCAGCTTGGCTGTGAACCACTGATAACTATTCTCTGGAAATAGTTTTCCAACCAGTTATGCAACCACCTTATAGTAGCTCCTTCTAGTTTGTATTTCCCTAGTTTGTTTATGAGAAGGTCATGCGAGACAGTATGAAAATCTTTACTAAAGTCAAGATATACCAGATCTACTGCTTTTCCCCTATCCACAGGGCTTGTTACTCTGACAAAAAAAGCTATCAGGTTGGTTTGACATGATTTGTTCTTGACAAATCCATGCTGACTATTACCTATCACCTTTATTATCTTCTAGGTATTTGAAAATTGATTGCTTAATTATTTGCTCCATTATATTTCTGGGTACTGAAGTTAAGCTGACTGGTCTATAATACCCTGGGTTGTCCTTATTTCGCTTTTCATAGATGGGCACTGTATTTGCCCTTTTCCAGTCCTCTGGAACCTCTCCCATCTTCCATGACTTTTCAGAGATAATTACTAATGGCTCATATATCTCCTAAGTCAACTGCTTGAGTATTCTAGGATGTATTTCATCTGATCCTGGTGACTTGAAGACATCTAACTTGTCTATATAATTTTTAACTTGTTTTTTCCCTATTTTAGCCTCTGATCCTACGTCATTTTCACTGGCATTCACTATGTTATACATCCAATCGCTACTAATCTTTTTAGTGAAAACTGAAACAAAAAAGTAATTTGGTACTTCAGCCATTTCCACACTTTCTGTTATTGCCCCCCCTCCGCCCCCATTGAATAATGGGCCTACCCTGTCCTTGGTCTTCCTCTTGCTTCTAATATATTTGTAGAATGCTTTCTTGTTACGCTTTATATCTCTAGTTAGTTTAATCTTGCTTTGTGCCTTGGCTTTTCTAATTTTGTCACTACATCCTTTTGTATTTGTTTATATTCATCCTTTGTAATTCGACCTAGTTTCCACTTTTTGTATGACTCTTTTTTGAGTTTCAGATAATTGAAGATCTCCTGGTTAAGCCAAGGTGGTCTCTTGCCATATTTCCTATTTTTCCTACACAGTGGGATAGTTTGCTCTTCTGCCCTTAATAATGTCTCTTTGAAAAACTGCCAATGCTCTTGAACTGTTTTTTCCCTTAGACTTGCTTCCCATGGGATCTTATGTACCAACTTCCTGAGTTTGCTAAAATTATGTCTGCCTTGTTGAAATCCATTATCTTTATTGTGCTGTTTTCCCTCCTACCATTCCTTAGAATCATGAACTCCACCATTTCATGAACACACTCACCTAAGCTGCCTTCCACTTTCAAATTCTCAACTATTTCCTCCCTATTTGTCAAAATGAAATCTAGACAGCCTCTCCCTTAGTAGCTTGCTCCACCTTCTGAACTAAAAAAATGTCTCCATACATTCCAAGAACTTGTTGAGTAATCTGTGCCCTACCGTGTTATTTTCCCAACAGATGTTGGGGGATTCCTTTTAAATTTGGCCAGCTTTCTCACTTGTTTTGTTTTGCCAGAGTAGCTCAAAGAAGCCAGAATAGGGAGCAGGTTCTGATCCTTGAATCACTGGAGTTGCAGGTTAAAATCCCAGGAAGTTTTTATTTTTAATCCTTTTGTTTCAAATAAAACTTTAAAAACTGGGGTTCTGTCTGCTCTGTATAGACATTAAAGATCTCATGACAATTTTCATAAGAGTAACTGAGGGCTAGAAACTTTAAAAAATGAAATTGAGATGTCATGAAATCACATGAATGTGGGAGCTTGGGCTTTAAGAAAACCGTCTGATATCAGGAGACTAACAATAAAATTGTGAGAGCTAGCAACACAACAGGTTGAGGATGCAGCTTTGTCGCAGGAACTTCTTCCAGAGCTTTCCTGCTCTCCTGACACCCTCTTCCAAGGGTTTCTCTGTGGGAAGGGTAATTTGGGCCCATGAAAGCAATTTATGCAGTAAAATGAATCCAGTCTAAAGGTTCAGTTCTCCTGCATATATCTAATCCAAACAATCTTGAAGGAACTTTCAAAAAAAGTATAAATTGGGCATATAACAATAGTTGGCATTTATAACACCATCCATTATTCTTTGGGGAATAAAGGGAATTTTCTAAAGCCCAGATCCTGCAATGAGTTTTTTGAGGGGGAGAACCCCCATCTTTATTCAGGGCCTCATGGGCTTCAGTTGCAGAATCGAGGCCTAAAATTGCTATTTGTATACTCCCCAATATATTTTCCTGACCATATTTAGATACATTGTATACATCCAAGGCTACCAACAATTGTGAATGCACCCTTTCTGCCCTGTTGTAATACCCAAAGGACACTGTCAGAATTGGGCCCTATTGTTGTGGATGCTGTATAAACACAGATAAAGAGGCAGTCCCTTTTCCAGAGAACTTTCATTGTAAAATCTCATTTTTCTTTTTTGTGTGTGTGTGCATAGGGTTACATTTTGAATTGGGCAAGGAAATTAAGTGTGAATACCAGTATCTGTGGAATACGGTAACAAAATTAGCTTCCAGCTGTGATTTTGGAGATGCTTTCCCAGTGAGAACTACTTCACAACTGTTTCTTGAACAGAAACAAATGGTATTTAAAGGTACTAACAACTGTATAAAAATCACTGGTATAAGCATAATAATAATTGCCAGTTACAAAATGTTTTACATAGTCAAAGTGCTATACAGTTATGAGCTTTTTAATTCTTTCCCTTCTAATAATTTATGACTTTATGGGTCTGTTCATTGAAGTCAGTGACAAAACTCCCATTTGATGCCAAAAGGAGTCTGATTAGGCCCTATGCATGAAATCCTGGCCCCATTGAAGTCAATGGAAATTTTGCTATTGACTTCACTGGGGCCAGGATGGCACCCTATGGATTTGATTTTCAGCCCCAAACCAGGCCCTTTGTGCTGGCAAAAGGCCTAAAGCAGAGTAAAGAAAATGATAATCTAAAAGCCCTGTTTCAGTCTGTAGACGAATTTTCTCAATGTACAGGCACTGTGGTAGATGCAAGAAGGCTGTCTCTCAAGGACTTCCTCACAAGCCCTGGCATGTTGAGCGTGCTGGGGGCAGAGCTGGAGCAGGGACAAGTATGGCAGGAGTAGGTCTATAACATACAGTGCTGTGGAGATTCCAGGCAGCACTGCAGCCCATAAGGCAGCCCTGTGAGGATGCTGCAACCTAAACATGCCCTCTGGGCTGTCTAATTACATTGGGAGCCATATAGCAGCCCAGAATCAGAAGGATGCAAAGTTGGCTTAAGGACCATTTAGCCCCCGCCTCTGGACTGGGCTGCAAGATCTGTGACTTTCATTGTTTATCTTTATCAGGCATTTATTCTTTCCATACTTGAGGGTAACTTCGGTTAAGCTTTTCAAATGTTTTGTTAAAACACTGAAGTGTTCTCCAGAAGACTTTTGTAATATAAAAGGAGGTCTCTTGTGTTCCCCACATCTCTTGTGAATCATCACAGGGGCCATATACAATCAGGCTCATAATTTATATTAAATGTATACCATAATATTACAAATTCTGCTTTGACATCACTGATTATTACTTAATTTGTATTTCTTGTTACAATTTGATTTATAACATACACTTGACAAAAATTAGCAGGATGTTGTATATACGTTTTGCTCTTTGGAATTGCAGAAAGTAACATAAGAGTGTATGTTTTAGTTAACCAGTATTTATCACATTTTCATTCACACTGCAAAGAATCTAAGGAAGAAATTCCCAGTATAGGGCTCATCCCAGTGAAATCTGACCTTGTTGAAGATTATGCTGGAGCTGTTTTGGCAGATTTACCTATTTTAAGCAGGTACATTCTTTTGACATTTGTCTGGGTTTTTCTTTTTTAATTAAATGAGGTACTATGGGCTGATTCTTCACTGCCCTGCATCTTATGTCATTATTTACACTTGTGCAAAGCAGCATAAAATGCTACTGTTCAGTTAGGTAGTATTTTATATCCACTTTGAACTGGTGTAAATATTAACATTAGGTGCAGGGTAAGGATGACTCGGACTCTAAATCCTGACTCCATGTTGTATTCTTTATGCAGTTATTGATTAGCATTATAGTCTCTGATAATGTTTGCTCTACAGTTTCAAGTAGCTACTTTTACCATACAATGTGTACTTGAAGAGCCAGATACTGATCCCAGAGAAGCCAATCACAGAATGCAAATTGATTCAAATGAGAGCTTTGCCTGAATAAAGATTAAGTAACTATAGAGTCATAGATTTTATGGATAACATAATTTAATCCTAGCAACAGGCTCTGTATTGGGGGGGGGCAGGGGGAGGAAATCTTTCCCTCCACCCAGGCCAATAAATTGCTTCAGAGTTGCTCCACTCTGGGGGTTAGTAGCCATTTAAACCCCCCAAATGAGCCCCTGCTGTGAGTGGAGAACCTTTGTGGCAATAGATTCTCTCCATTTGTCCCTTCCTTGGAGTTCCCCTGCTCTGCTCAGACACCTGCTGTGCATTCCCACTCATGGGGTACGTCTATACTTACCTCCGGGTCCGGCGGTAAGCAATCGATCTTCTGGGATCGATTTATCGCGTCTTGTCTAGACGCGATAAATCGATCCCGGATCAATCCCGGAAGTGCTCGCTGTCGACGCCGGTAATCCTGCTCCACGAGAGGAGTACGTGGAGTCAACGGGGGAGCCTGCCTGCCGCGTGTGGACCCGCGGTAAGTTCGAACTAAGTTACTTCAACTTCAGCTACGTTATTCACGTAGCTGAAGTTGCGTATCTTAGTTCGAAGTGGGGGGTTAGTGTGGACCAGCCCATGGAATCCTCACCGCGCTGTGTTCTGTGACACACAAAGGATGTACCCCTCTTGTACTGACTCCCAAATCCAGTTCCTGACTTTGACAAAATTGTGCATGGAACTTATTTGTTTCTGTGGCCAAGAAATGTGGATTTGTACTAAACTAAGCATCAAATATGAAGTCAGACAATACAGATGTGCACCTATTAAAGATTAGTTCTGTGACTTATGCTATATGATTCTTCACTAATCCATAAAGAATTAAGTGGGGAGGACAGGAAGCCACTAGAGCAAAATGAAGTCATGAGCAAACAGGTGGCTGCCACAGAAGAATTAAGAATATCAGGTGAACAAAAAGATCTCTTCGGTATGACATGCTCTTCTAGTCAGTATTATGTATTACAATGAATGCCAAAACATTTTGTTTATAATTAAGTGGGTATAAGGCTTGTTATGTAGGATGTGCCAGAAAACTAAACATACATAAGTATCACTGTATATACTGTGTGTATTTTTCAGCAATAATCCTGCAGTTACTTCACTTATTAAACAAACAGAATTTGATGAACTTCGGCATTGGCATTCAGGCAAACCTCTCAGTGATGATTATGACAGAACGAAGTGCAGCAATGATGGTAAAAAACATAAAACCTACTTGTCTAGTTGGATAAAACTCTACTGTTGTCAAGGTTATCACATTTTAGAGGAAAGACTGCTGTAATTCCAGATAATTTTCCACATATTATATAAATATACTTCAAAAGGGTATTACAATAATTAGTTTTATATTAAATATATTTTGCCTGATTACATTAATTTATCTTGAATAGCCCAAGGAGTTATGACACAATCAATGCCACAAGCCATATTTTCATGAGGCTCCCTTTTGCAAAAATTTGTGCAAATTTTTTTCCCCTTGTGCAGAAATTTGCACATAGACAATATATATGTACACATACAATTTGGTATTTAAAATTGCAGTTTGGGTAACTGTATTTAGCTACTCAGTTTATATGCATAAGGGTTCAGATGACTGCGCAAATGGGGGCAAGGCTAGATTTACCCTATGAAAATAGCATTAGAAAGCAAAATAACTTGTATACTTTTTAATTTTCTGGCAATTTTTCCTATTTTCACATAACCAGAAAATAAACCAGGACTCGACATTGATCTTAGATTTGCACATTTGTATTATCGAATTAAATATACATTTGAGGGGCTACCAGCCACTTGTATACAAAACTATTGCTCTGTTGAAAAATTACCATCTGCCAGAGCATTATATCGTGAATAAAACATCTTATGAGGAGTTTTACAGGAATTCTGTGTGATTATTAACAGATTCATTTATAAAATAACTAGTGTAAACTCAATGCGTCAGATTCATCTCTGGTATCACTTTACTATTTACATAATGGATATGTACACCTGCTATGTATGTATGTCTAGTGATAGTGTCATATTCATATTTAATCCCCACAAAACACAAAGTGGCCAGATGCTCAGATGCCATGATAATGGGCATAGGATAAGAATGTGAATAGAACAGAATAAACTAGAATAAAAAAAGCTTTGACCAATAAGTGTCTCAAGCCATATTATAATTGATGTTGGATGTGCTTCTTTAACAGCTTTGGACAAATTCATTCCTGGTGGAACTCCACAATCCATTACATTAGTCATCTTTTCCACTCCAGCCCAGTTGCTATATGCTGCAGATAGATGAGCTGCTTTATATTTTTACTTTTAAGTTAAATAATTGAATTAGTAGCACTTAAAAATGGCTTCTAATTCAGCTTTCTAAAAAAATGACCAACTTTAAAGACACCTTTGAATCTCTATGATATATGGTCTAGAGAAGATATTTGAATCTCTATGATATATGGTCTAGAGAAGATATTTGGCATTGCTCCTTGATGTTCAGCCACTTGAGAAGCACTGGTGAATATAACTTCAAAAGAAACTACCACATCCCTCTCATGACGAGACCTCTCAGCTGCTATGAAGTTTTACTATTAAGTTGTTTTAACCAACTTTCTACCCTGGCTTAAGTAACACCTTCTCATTATTATTTATTTTAATGTAAACTTTGAGTAAACTGTTTAACATTGCCACTCTTAATGAGAAATCTTTACTACTGTAGTTTGAACACTTATGTAAGGGTCAATATGAAATGATTCATGGTGGTATATGACTTATTACTGACAGTATAATATCTTTGAGATAGATTTTAAAAAGTATTTAGGCACCTAAAGAGTCAAAAAGGGACCGAATGGGATTTCCTTTGAAGGTTACGTGCTGGCATCCAAGAGTTTTTGAAAATCCCAATAGATACCTATCTGCATCTTTAGGTGCCTAATGCCTAGATTTTCAAAGATCCATTGCTTTACTTAGCATTGCAAGGTCTAGGGTCCAGATTCACAACAACATGCCTCTTTAGTCTAACACTTTAGTGCCACTCACATTCTCAAAACTACTCCCAGCTGCTGCCTAACCCCATAGGGTATGTTTACATAGCAGTTAAACACCCGGCTGGCCCAGGTCAGCTGACTCAGGCTCTCAGGCCTCAGGCTGTGGGGCTGTAAAACTGCCGTGTAGATGCTTGGGCTGGAGCGCGGGCTCTGGGACCATTCTTACCCACAGGGTCCCAGAGCTTATTTTATAAATGAATAACTATCTGTTAATAATCACACAGAATTCCTGTAAAACTCCTCATAAGATGTTTTATTCACATATAATCCAGCCTGATCCTGCAGGCCTATACCACAATTCTACAGCCCTGCAAGACCAGCCACAGTTGTTTAACTGCTGTGTAAAGACCTAAGTCTTCATGGAACCTAGTTTCCATAGGTGGGCACATGCAAAGCTGCCTAAGTCTTGATGCCACCCCATAGTAAATGAGCAGCTCAAAGCCCAAATGCCAGCCAAAGCCACAGTGGCTCTGAAGCAGGGTTCTCAAACTAGGTGAGAGAATACCTCTCTTGCCAGCATGTCTACAGGTACAGGCCCAGCACAAAGAATAGGTGTGTCCCCCCAGAATACCATTAGCCTAGTGATTAGGGCACTCAGCTGGGATGTTGGAGACACAAGTCACTGCTCCAAATCAAGCAGAGTAGGGATTCAAACTTGGGTCTCCCACATCCAATGGGAGTATTTTGGAAATACACAGGTATGCTGTTGTGATGGGTTGGATCACAGAAACCCTCTTGGGAGCTGCCACCGGATGTACCAAGACTACCTCTGCCCCTGCCTTCCTGCCCCGTCAGCTTAGGACTTCAGTGCCCTGCCTGGTTTGAACCAGACTCGCTAGCCTGCTGCAAACCTAGACCCAGGTCTGAATCACGTCCCCTAACAGCTATAGGCTTATCTGAAAGCAGCTAACAGAAGTGTTCTTGTCTTTAACACTCAGATGCCCAACTCCCAATGGGGTCTAAACCCAAATAAATCCGTTTTACCGTGTATAAAGCTTATGCAGGGCAAACTCATAAATTGTTCGTTCTCTATAACACTGATAGAGAGATATGCACAGCTGTTTGCCCACCCAGGTATTAACACATACTTTGAGTTAAATAATAAGTAAAAAGTTATTTTATTAAATACAGAAAGTAGGATTTAAGTGGTTTCAAGTAATAACAGACAGAACAAAGTGAATTACCAAGTAAAATAAAATAAAACACGTCAGTCTATGTCTAATACAGTAAGAAACTGAATACAGATAAGATCCTCACCAGTTCCAGAATGCTTCCTTTTACAGACTAATCTCCTTTTAGTCTGGGTCTAGCAATTACTTACACCCCTTGCAGTCACTGTCCTTTGTTCCAGTTTCTTTCAGGTATCTTTGGGGGTGGAGAGGCTCTCTCTTTAGCCAGCTGAAGACAAAATGGAGGGGGTCTCCCCTGGGCTTAAATAGACTTTCTCTTGTGGGTGGAGACCCCCTCCTCTCTCCTATGTAAGGTCCAGCTACAAAATGGAGTATTGGAGTCACCTGGGCAAGTCACATGTCCATGTATGACTGAGTTCCTTACCAGCCAAGCCACATTCCTGGGAAAGTCCAGATGTGGATTGGTGTCTCCAAGTTTATTGCTGGCTTAAGTGTTTCTTGATAGGGCACTTACTGAGAATAGTCTTTTCTCAGGAAGCTGACCAATTGCTTCACTACAGCCTACTTAGAATCAAACAAGTATGCAGCCGTATTAATAACTTAGAATACAAAAATGATACATGCATTCAAATAGGATTAATAGATTTAGTAGATCATGACCTTTACAGAAATATGTTACATGGCATATGTAGCATAAAACACATTCTAGTTATATATTATATATATATATATATACACACACACATAAGCATATTTCCATAAAGCCTTATGGGTGGCCCCATCACAGCTGTCTTTTGTGCTGGCCCTGAGCCTGTAGATGTGCTGGTGAGATATATGTACCCTCACCTAGTTTGAGAATTCAGCTTCAGGGCTGCCAGGACTTTGGGTTGCACTAGGGTTCTGAGCAGCTCACTAGCTGTGAGGTGGTGTTCAGGACTTAGGTGGCTTTACACATGCCCACCTGTGGGGATGTAGGCACCTACGGGAGTTGGCAGCAGTTGAGCAGTAGTTTTGAAAATGCCTAAATGTTGGGCACAAGTGCCTAAGTACTTTTGTGAATTAGGCCCTAAGTACCTAAATCAGTTTTGAAACTGGGACTTAAATTCTTATGTCAGCTAGGGTCAGATTTTGAAAAGGTGTTAAAGAGAGTTAAATGCCTATTACCTTTCAAATTCTGGCCCTGGGGCACTTTTGAAAATTTTATCCAAGGGCTAAATTTGGAGCTTTCATCTCTTGCCAAAAAATGAATATATTGGAATTCCACCAATTACCTTATAAGTCAAAAATAATTCTCTCTGTTTGCTGTAGCAAAGTCCAAAGGTCCAAAAGAAAGAAGAGGCATACAAAAGTTACAGTCTTATTATCGACTTTATGGAAGATCGTTGGAAGGCAACATTTCAAAGACAATTGTAACCCAGGTGGATGTGCCCTTGGTTCCCACCAGCACTAAGACTGCTGTCACAAAGACAAAAAAATTACATGTAAGCACATTCAAGTTGTTTCATAGCATACCTATGCTTTCTGCTGTCCAGGCTCAGATTTTTCCTTCTGGTGTAATTGCTTTGGTCAAGAATACTCACCTAGGATTTTTCATTTGTCAAACATTAGTAATTTTTATTGAAAGAATAAATCCATCCTTGCACCCTAGATTTAATTGGTAATTAGTGTGAACCCATTTTTATCCCTGTACAGAAATATAAACAAGTAGCTGTGTTTGGAGCTGGAGCAGTAAAATGATAACAGAAAGCTTTAATTTTGGAGACCTATACAATTAGTATGTGATTGAGTAGGAAAGAAAAAATAAATTTTAGTTAGGGTTGGCTTTTTACAGAACCTTTTCAGAAATAATCTGTTTAAAAATTGAATGAGGTTCTTGAGGTTTGTTTAAATATGCTGCTTGAAAACTATATCAAAATAGCCATTTAAAAGATTAGGAGTACTTGTGGCACCTTAGAGACTAACAAATTTATTTGAGCATAAGCTTTCGTGGGCTACAGCCCACTTCTTCGGATGCATAGAGTGGAACATATATTGAGGAGATATATATACACATACAGAGAGCATGAAAAGATGGGAGTTGTCTTACCAACTCTGAGAGGCCAATTAAGTAAGAGATTGAAACAATCACACGGAAGATGCAGGTGGCTCATATGAATATTCCAAAATTGAAAAATACATGTGTATGACACATCTTTTATGTCAGTGTATGTGGATCAAATTAATGTCAATAAGGTACAGTTGAATACAGTACTTTTGGTTCTGAGCTACTGTCAGGGTTCTCTCCCCACTCTGAACTTTAGGGTACAGATGTGGGGACCCGCATGAAAGTTCCCCTAAGCTTATTTCTACCAGCTTAGGTTAAAACTTCCCCAAGGCACAAATTCTCCTTGGAATTGTACCTTGGATTAGGTAAACGCTGCCACCACCAAGTAATTCAAACAAACATTTAGGGAGGGCCACTTGGAGCCCTATCTTCCCCTAAAATTGCCCCAAGCCCTACACCCCCTTTCCTGGGGAGGCTTGAGAATAAACAAGATGAGCACAAAAACAATCAGATTCTTAAAAAAAACTGAACTTTATTAGAAAGAAAA